ATAAATGTTACTGAGTTAATCTCGATACAGTGTTAAAAGTAAAGTGCACATACACACACACATTGGGGTTGATTTACTAAACGAGCAAAGAATAATTACTTAGTAAATAAAGTGGAAATTGTGCATGAAAAATAATCAATAACTACACTGTGCCTTGCAGGTGACTGGATAAAAATAAACTCTAATTAACCTTAATCACTAGGGTAAGTTAACATCCTTTATTAAATTAATATCTCAACTGTCCCTAGGTCTCTCTCTCTCTCTCTCTCTTTCTCTCTCTCTCTCTCTCTCTCTCTCTCTCTGTTTCTCTCTCCCTCTCTCATCAATTACAGTTATTTGTCAGGAAAACCGAGGATCTGATCACAAAGGGTGATTGGAATTGATTTATTAATACAGCATAATAGGTGCTGATTTTTCTTATGATCTATCATGTAACTGTACTCGTTTGTTCTTTAATGGTTACATTGATGCGAAACTTGCTAACTCCATAGGAATGAGCTTGTAGTAGTATTGGAGCCCCATCTCCCAGCAGCAATGCTATCAATGCAGATGTGGAGGAACTGCAGTAAAGAGGTGCAGATAGGCAGTGTTGATTTAAGGAAAAGGCCAGGACATTAATAGACACATAGCAGAGATATGTCATTGTAACAAAACAGATCTATCAATGTACCTGCAGTCAGGAGGTTTGAGTTGACTGTGTTTTCCCATAGTCTGCTGCAGGAGTCCTGTTCAGATTAGTGAGAAAATGGTTTGTTGTGAAGTGGATTAACCCCACTGAGAGAGGGGTCTGGAGGAGATAGCGAGAGGATGCAGACTATACAAATGTTGCCACATTGTCTCCGCAAACAGCCTGAGCACAAGTGACAAGATCTCCTCTACACAAGCAACAAACCCGCTTCATCCTTATTCCTCCATTTACTCACTGGTCAATCATATCAAACTTCTAAAAGTCACTGCCCATGTAAAACATTACCAATCTAAAGTAATATGTTTTGTTTTGTATTTTTTAAAATGATATGATTATATTATTATCATCTAACTCATACATCTCTGTACAAATACAAGGATAATAATTCCAACCAGGTATTCTTGCCAAGCTGAAATATTACTATCACATAGAAGCCTCACATATTAATATTTACCGAAAATATCTACAGATCCTTTAGGAATGTGAATGTAATAAATTCACTTAATAACAATTTAGATGGTAGCTTTTTTGGACATTTTCATTAAAACGTTTGGTTAATGCCTCTTGTTTTAGTTGCACAATTTGATATTATTTTCTTGTAGCTTCTCTGTTTATGTATTTATCTATTTTAGCTGAGAGTATATGCAACGTGTGGATGATGATATTAATGGTAGTAGTAGTAGCAGTAGTGGTAATAATAATAATAATAATAATAATAACAATACTAATAATAATAAGTATATACAGGTTCATTATCATTTTTAAATGTCTTACAAGTTTATACAATTAATCAAATTGACTAGATTGAATTATTGATAGTACAAAATACATTTATGCCGACAAAAACGAACTCCTACAACTGTTGCCCAGATGTCCTGCTGTCTGCACACAAATAATAGTCAGTCTGTCAGTATATGTGTGGAGGTTATTATGGTTTTGATATCGTGTACCGAATCATTTGTCTTGGCTCATAGCACTGTGGACAAGCCATTAATTGCTAATTATCACAACATGGCTTAACCCGCAGGATCTCTGGCTGGTGTGCAGGTAATTAGAAGGCTCACTATCACTGGCTAATACACCTAATATTGCAGGCAGCAGACGTGTGTGATTAATTCCCAGTACACGCCTCTCACATTTACATGATGCCACTGGTGAAGGTGGGACCCAGATGTCTGTGGCTGATCTGACAAGTGTGTGCTGGGTCCTTCCATGGCTGACAATTACAGTTACTGAGCATTTAGGAAAATGATGGAAAGTTCCTTACATATACATGCATGTGTAAATACATTGAGTGATCTCTATCTTCATTATGAGCTTTCACAGTTCAATTTGAGAGGAAGACACGGGCACGTTCCTATTTGCTATAAGTGAATAATCATTGGCCCACTCCTGATCATAATCGTAAAATAAGGCTAATGGTCCAATTCAGCTTATAATATTCAGAACACTCCTCCCTCTAATCCTGGGCTGAGTTTTAATGATCACCTTTAGGAAATGAAAGAGATGTAGTATTTAGGTGTAAGCTGTGTACATCACATCCTTCTACACAGGCTGTCTCTGTCCTTCAGTCGTGTACTCCTCTATCCAGCAAGCACCTCCAAGACATTTATCAGCTGTATCAGGCAGATGTGACGCACAAGTCCTCCAATTGGCCAGGGAAGAGATATGATCTGTGTGGCCATCAAATTAAGGAAGTGGAGGCTGAGATTCAACTCAGTGTACAACATCAGCTCCCTACTCAGGCAGACAGTCTGCTCCAGCCAATCGCCAGAGCCCTCCCAGCTACTAACTTCTGATCTGATGCCAAGGCTTTCCTACACTCAGTACCACCAACCATCCCGAGGAGAGCAGCGACCAGGAGGGACAGTCCGCCGCAGACCGACTAGCAATATGTTTTCATAGAACTACTACTGGTACCTTCACATCCACCACATCATCGGATCTACACGCCTGCTTCTCAGTCCGCTTCTTACTTGTTGCTTTAGCCGGAGGAGAAAGCCCAGCATGGAATACACAGCTTCTCCCAAACCTCAGCTCTCCTCCAGGGCGAACGCCTTCTCTATAGCCGCTCTTATGTCCAGCAGTACAGGCAAGGACAAGGAGACATCGGAGAGTACAATAAAACCACTGGGTGAGTAGCCTGGCTTACAGGGGAAGTAGACTGGGACTCGGATATTCTCTCTATTATAAAATCTACAGAAAGTGGACTTACAACTGTCCCTAGGTCTCTCTCTCCCCCCACTCTCTCTCTCTATTATAAAATCTACAGAAAGTGGACTTACAACTGTCCCTAGGTCTCTCTCTCCCCCCACTCTCTCTCTCTATTATAAAATCTACAGAAAGTGGACTTACAACTGTCTAGGTCACTCTCTCTAATAATAACATCACACAAAACTCTCTCTCTCTATCTCTCTTACATACAGAAACTGGACTTACAACTGTCCCTAGGTCTCTCTCTCTCTCTCTCTCTCTCTCTCTCATATTAAATTTGACATACAGAAAGTGGACGTACAGCGGTCTCTTGATAGATAGATAGATAGATAGATAGATAGATAGATAGATAGATAGATAGATAGATACGTTCCCCTTGTTCTGTATCTCCCACAAAGATTTAAAAAAACATATTCCTACAATAAATAAGTATATATTGACATTTCACCAATATGCTACTGATGAAGACAATTCTGTAGGTGTGTGGATATGCATTTCTGCATAGATGTGTACATACTTTATTTAACATAAAATACGTACAAGTTTTAAGCGTTATGTTTTTTTATACTGTAAGGGTTGATCTACTGAAGGAGTAGAAGGCTAAAGGAGTAAAGACTTAGCAGAAGTGAATGTTCACTAAAGTAAGGAGAAGCTGTGTTCTTTTTATTCCTCCAGCCATGCGCTAGGGAATGTTCTGTCCTTTTTTTCTATTTTATCTCCCTCCTATGTGAGTGTGCATTTAAAGCAAACTCAGGTTGTTTGCTAGCATTCACTTTGCAAAGTGATCAGCCTCTACTTCTTTAGCAATAGTACATAAACCTCAATGTGTTAGGTGTAGGGTCTCTACTGGCAATACTACCGAGGTTTCATTCACTTTCTTGCTAGGTGTACGCTTTCCCCTATCAGTGCTCAGATAATATAGAAGCCATGTACTATATGGCGTAGGCTGATAGTGATCACAAGGCAGCCATTTAGAAATGTGGAGAAAAAAGTGGAGCTGTTGATCATAGAAACCAATATAGTGTCATCTGCTTGTCCTGGAAAAGTGAAGAAAGGAGTAAAAATTTGTAATCGGTCGCTGAAAAAATAAAGTGACTACATTTTAAACAGACCAGTTCACTTTAAAAAGACAATGGGGTCCAGGGACTGCTTTTAACTCCCCCGATGTTTATGCATTTTAAGCGCATACAGCCAGGTATACAAATGATCCCTTTAACATCCGAAACGCTGTAGCTTTCATAAGTAAGTCTAACAGCCTAGCTGTGTTTAATATGAATCATGGAAACATAATTTCGTTATAGCTGAAACTTATGTGTGCATAGTTATATACAGAACAATGATCAGCGCTCGCTAATATACGGGTAATCTAAGGTTTTACATTCCCCTGTATGGGAGAACTTCTAACTGGAAGGGTCCGGATTGTTCAATTCGTCTTCTGTATAATCAGACCGAACTGACTGCCCTTGGCTCCATACCTGACAGGCTCACATTTACAGAAGCCACAAAGTCACAATTATATTTAAATTATGTCATGATACAAAGAAAGACGATGATATCCCGGCTGAGACAGCTATACTGATATTTATACTGAAAATTATAGACGCGATTGTGTGAATTGCTGCAGTTTTTTTAACATTGAACTATACCAAATGTCTTTCTTTCATTCATTCCTTATAATAATATACTCTATACTCATTCTGCAGTGGTTTTATTTATTAATACAAATGCAACATTTATTCCGGAACATTCAACACTATTCTAAATAACAGTGTTTGTTCCTCTTTATATCATATAATAATATACTCTATAAACTATACATTCTGCGATGCTACTTATAAATCAAATTCCCCAGATAGCACTGGTTCTAATTCAATCAACATAATTCCAAATAACAGAATTCATATCAAATAATCTTATACTCCATGTTCCTTCTGCAATGCTTTTGTTAATTATTACAAACGTAATAATTAACATTGATAACATTGATTCGGAAACATTCGACAATGTTTTAAGCAAATTGTATGTTTTCAGTGATTAGTACAAAGACCCGGATTGCACTGGTTCTGATACATTTCACACTATAGTTTTAAATAATAATATTCTCCTTTTTAAATCAAATAATATTAAATTCCATGCACATTCTGCAATGTTTTTACTAATTACAATATCCAATCAACACTCAATATTAGTACCCCTCTGCATGTTAAATAATAATTTTCCATTCTCATTTTGCAATATTTTTATTAATAAAATACCCAGATAAAGCTGGTTCCAATACATTAAAATACTGTTATAAATAATAATATCCCCACATACATTATATTATAGCTTTGTCAACTACTCTTTTCCTAGATATTCGTTTGCAAAAAATACAGAAGTTGCTTTAAAACACCTATTAGTATCCAAGTAAGAGGAAAAAATGAATTACCCAGTCTGATATTCTGTTCCTTGAACCAAATACACGTAGAGAAAATGTTATTTTGTAACATTAATTATTATATGTCTGAAGACAATCAATTGAGAAGAACTGCACTTCCTAGAAAGATTCATTTCCATCCTACAAATATGTAACTGTCCTGTTTGTTTTGTTTAAAATGTATAAAGGTGATTATGGGCAAATTCATGTGTACAAGACCACAATGGAGAAAAATATTGTATTCTGGTAATAGTATGGGGTAATACATGTAATGATCGTATTCGGTATATGAATTTCTTATTTTATTACATAATGCCTTTATTTATTTTTAACATTGACATGCAGCCATTTCTACGGTGGACACCTTTGTATGCATGTAAGTCCACATCCACATCTTTTAACTGTGGAGAAAACTATCAAGAAGGCATGAAATAAAAAGGGGAATTCAAATATTGTATACTATCATTACATGTGTTAACTACAAGCCATTTCCAGAATACAATATTGTTAGTGATAGGTGCTCCCTTCAAAGGACTTTTTTTTATATAAGATTACCTGATATTAGTGCAGTTAACATAAAATGTAGAGGCATGGCATTTTTTTTTATAGATCATTAGGTTTCTGTAATGTAACAATTTTCAGGTTACTGTAAGCAGCTCTTTATATCTGTGTCTGTGTTTCTATATTCAAATGTCTCCTTAAAAGTTCAATAGTGCTCAGTACCGTGACTGGGAAAGGCTGTTATGTTTGTAAGTTTTTCTAGCTCTTAAGTCCTGAACTACATCCTAAAAATATGTACTTTAACCATTTACCAATGTTTTATTTTCTGACAGCAAAATAGATAGGGTTGCAATATTTATCTTTCACAAAAATAATATTAAGCTGTCGTATCCTGAGAAATCTTTATATAAATTGTGTCTATAATATTTACCGAAATATCTAATACACAGTGTTTTCATATACTTATTTTCATATACTCATTTTATAATTTATTATCTAATTAAATAAATATTAGCTGATATTAATTAAACATTGTATAGTTAATTGAGCTTCCTTTCCTTTTCTTTCTTTCTTTCTTTCTTTCTTTTTAAAACACACACAGCCTAACAGTCTAGTTTTTATATTCCCAAGCTTACTGCATTTAGGAAAAATAGGTTACACTTATCTACATCAAACCATCTGATGCTTTTACTGTGGATCCCTTATGAAAATAATCTATTTTTAATGTCCCATAATATTTGTTATTAAGAGAAATCTATCATTATATTAGCTCTATGTACTTGACATAACCGCTGGCACACCATGCAAGTGCTATTAGCACATAGAAAGTCTAAGGAAGGCACCAGGGAAATTTTGCAGTCTTAGGGTAAATCTGCACCATTCAGCTTATTTCATATGTGCTTCATACTTATTCTTTCAGGGATAAAAATAAGTCCCTTGGCATTCCAAACTTTCTACACCAATTGCAGCTATATATACTTTGACAGCACCACCATCCGGTCTGTTTTTTTTAAGACAGTCACTCTCATTCATTTAAAAAAAATATCCAAATCTTGTGCAGTAACTCAGAGCAACCAATCAGAATTTGCCTTGCATTGGTCTGCTTTCAACAAAGATAATGATAATTCTGCGCCTGAGAATGAGTATTTTAGAATAAATAATTCATCATCTATGGCCATTTATTACATCATCTTTTAAAATCTTGGATTTCACTGGTGGTGGCGTTGGCTTTGCTTGTTCTGTGCTTGTCTGCTAATTTACAGCACAGGGAAGATGAATGCTTTTCACTTTACTGCTTTGATTGAGCTTGTGCATCATCCACTCCAATGTTACTGATTGATTACCTATGCTTGCCTTGGGCATCCAGGAATATTACGAAGAAGCTCATATTTTTTTTGCATTCCCCTACATGTGATTGGGTGTTATAAAAGAACATGTATTCACTTCATCAAGAGTAGAAGTCACATAATTAGTAAATCAACCTCTAAATACATAGCTGAGTAGCATAAGCACTATGCAAACAACAGGGAGTTTTATTGTGAAAATGAACCTCACCTTTAGCTATCCTTTTCTGAGAAATAATTAAATATTTCAGATTTTTGTATTTTCCCCCATATTCATATAGTATATTGGCAACACTTGCATATAATATTTGAATTAGGGATTATGCTGGTACAATATTATTCCAGCCTTTATACAATACCCATCTGAAGGGATACTTTCTGATCCACTTTCATACATATCTCTCCATGACTTGAATGGAATAGACACTAATGCACAGCTTTTATCTTTCTCATCACCAGCCCAGTATATTCAATTGCTTTTAAATGAGAGACATTTTCCAGGTCTGCTGCTTTGTGTCCTTGTTAGTTCAGTTACTGATACTTTTTTTTTCTTTCTGTGTGTTAGAACAATTTGTCGAGAAGTCATCCTGTGTTCCTCTGAGTGACATATCCAGCGTGGACCCTCATGGGGATTTCAGCAGTAGCAGTCCTGCCTCTCTGTGTACAGAACCTCTTATCCCTACCACTCCAATCATCCCCAGCGAGGAGATGGCTAAGATTTCCTGCAGCCTGGAGACCAAGGAACTATGGGATAAGTTCCATGACCTAGGGACGGAAATGATCATTACCAAGTCTGGCAGGTAAATTAACTTTCCTAAAGTACAGGAAATGTCACACGCAGACAGCCAAGCATGCATTTTATATAATACAGACAAGTCAATGTATTGTATCATCTTCTACATTCAAGTAAACATCTCTGTGTATATCTTTCAAACTCTTTTCTTTGCTTCATAGCACACATTATGACATAATGGAACGAGCATCGAAAACAGTGGAATGCATTTAATGGGTGCCCCAAAGGATCAGCATATATTCTTTGAGGCCCAGCACATGAACAATATAGCAATAAAAATGACACTACATCCATTACACATAATATGTTACTGACATGATGTTCTGGGTCTATGTATTACCTAAGAAAGAAAATTGAAAAAACACTAAAAATGTATTTCCAGGAAACTCAAGGCAATCATTTCTGGAAAGCTAAAGACTAATCCCTACCACCAACTGAGTTAAAAGCTTTACCTACTTTTGTAGCTATATACCTCCATTAGTGAAGGGATCTGTAAAAATGAAAACATACCTGGCCTTAAACAGTAAAGATCTTTCAAATACAATATATTACGCAATGCAATGTTGGGGGGTTAAAAATGTTCTGACACCTCTACAGTTATGTTACTAATTTACACCCATGAATGCTCAGCTCTTGAGACATAATGCCATTTGATGGCTAATTTTAAAATGACAGTTAGCCAATCACAATCCTTCCTGAATAATTTACAGTCAATTTGTATCATTGTTCAGGAGGCAGACCGGATAAAAATGTATACAGAACAAATGTTATTTTTTTTCTGTATTTATACAGCGATGACATATTCCATGGTATTTTACAGAGTATATAGAACTATTTTCATAAAAAACTAAATAACAAACAATACCCCATAAATATAAGTTTATGGAGTGTTGTTTGTAAAGGACTACATTTAAAAGGAAAGAAGCGCATGATAAAACATTCACATAGTTAGTGAGATTGATAAAAGTACCAAAGTCCCTTAAATTCAACCAACAGAAAAAATTAACAAATAAATAAGTTGAAAACCTCCATATACAGAACCCTATTTCCACAGCTGATCCAGAGGAAGGCATAACGCATGGTCCAATTTGCTCCGACAGGGGAAAAATCTTTCCTGATCCCTTAAGTCAATTGGATATTCCCTGGATCAACAGCCTCTGGTGTTATTACTTATAAATGATAATAGCCAGCTGTGCATTTATTAGGGATGCATCCAGCTTTCATTTAAACAATCAACTGAGCTAGCTAGAACTAGTTCCTGTGGGATTCTATTCTATACTTATACAGCTCTTACTGTGAAGAAGCCATTCCGTGTGTGGAGGTTAAACCTCTTTTCCACCAGACACAAAAAGAGCCCCCCATCCTTTGCAATGACTTTAAACTGAATACATTTTCCACTTATTCATGTTCACTATATGGACCATTCATATATTTATTTGAAAAATGTTCTTAGCTTGGTTAAGTTGTTACAGGCAATGCTGTTTTAAAAAAAAGGGTTTTTTGAACATTATGGGGTCTATTCACTAAGCTGCCGAAGCTGTTTGGGTTATTCTTAAAGATGCCGAACAGCAGTGAGTGAATAGCCGAATGCCGCTCAGTGGCATTCGGCTCGGCTGTTCTGCTCGGTCCCTCAGAGCCAAGGTCAATGCATTCCAATGGGCAAAAAATTATTATTATTTTTTTTTTTCTATTCTGACACGGAGCCGTGAAAGAGAAAAAAAAAAGAAAAATCAGTGTTTCTCTCCTGGGCGGCCGGGAGCGGGAGACTCCCAGAGCGCCCGGGTGAGTTTTTTTGTTTGTTTTACGACGGCAGCAGAACCGCCGGCCAATAGAAAACTATTGGGCGGAGCTAGCTGCCATTGCTAGCTCCGCACAATTGTTTTATATTATTTTTTTTGTTCTGCTCGGTCTCTCTGAGACCGAGCAGAACAGCCGAGCCGAATGCCGCTAAGAATAGACCGAACAGCAGCGAGTAGCCTGCCGGAGGTTCGGCTTAGTCGAACTCCTCCTGCACTTCGGGTCAACTGAACATGCTGAGCATGTTCGGCTGACCCGAAGCCACGTGAAGCCACCTGATGTACGGCTGATTTCAGCCGTACCAGCCTGAAGTGAATAGCCGAACAGCGTTCGGCTCACTTTACTTCAGGTCAGTCTTTCACTCGGCTGCCTACGGCAGCTTAGTGAATAGACCCCCTATTTGTTTTATCCTATCCTGACAAACATCAAAGTGATATCTTGAACTGGGGATAGATAATCATTCTGTAGTTCTTGGATAAGAACTGAGAGGACTAATGCTTCTCCTTGGAATTTCTGACATGAACAGGTATTTTGTTGCAATTATCGAACAGATATAAATGCTTTTAATAGTATATTTAACAGCAAATTAGAGAATTTGGTTGCTAGGGTTCAAGCAGGCCTGACTCTTCACTTGCCCATGTACAAGAGTGAAGAAACAAGTTGCCATGTGTGCCCTACTGTCATCATGTCTGCAGTAGATCCTGGTGCTTTATAGGCTCATTTAAAAACAGGCAGAAACAATATCTCCCCACCCAAAGTTCTTTGGTAGATATCAAAATTGTATGGTTGGAAAAATCCTACCTGGCTAGTAGACTATTCCCTCTTATCTAGTGACCTGGGTAATCTCCTGTGGTCTAGGGTCAACCATCAATATCACCATAGCTTTGTCAACACTGGTTACAATATTTAATTGTAGTTCTTAAAGACTGTAGATGGACACATCTCACCTTCATTGGAACTTGCTCAATGCATTGTGGAGCCTCAGGCATATGGAACATAGGTTCTAAAATCCTACAATATTCACACTGGAAAAAATGACTTGAGTGCAAGTTTGCATTCTGTGTAAATGTCATGTTTGCACTTTTGAATTTCCCACCGGCTCCGCCCCCCGCTGTGACGGCCGAAAACAAAACTGAAAGCCGAATGCCGGCATCGGCCGGACGCACACAGCAGAGGACACCGCGGGCTCGCAGGGACAAGGAAAGTTACACTTTCGCGCAATCCCAAGTGTGGCTCGGGGTTACCGTTCTTGGTACTGAAAATTCACCCCGAGCCACACTCGGGAATACCGCCAGGGTGGTTAGGCAGACTTAGAGGGTCTGTATAGGTTTGTTGTCAAGGTGGCAGCCTTCCCAACTTTAAAGTGGTCATAAATGGGTAGTTCTCTACTGATAACATTGGTGTTGAATAGTCTGCTTGGAGTGATGGCTACTTTACAAAACACACAGGGACCGTGGTGAACAAAAGTAGCCACCCTCCAGAAGGAAGGACAGTGTCAGCACCAATTCAGAGATGATTTGAGAATCTACAGCTGAGTGATACACAAATAAAATACGTATTTGTTAATAGTTAAGGTACTTAAATGCATTTTTTGTGTCACATTAAACTTAGACAGCACTATCAGGGAATGTTAAATAGCAGCAAAAACTGGGAAACTTGAATCTGGGAATTACTGATGTACTTATTTCTGAAATACATCCCTGTGTTGAAGCAGAATTTGACCAACTATTGTGAGAAATGTAGCAAGGAAACATAGTTGCCTCATTTACCAAATAAATATAATAATATGTAGTTTATAATGTTTCAGTAAGAAGTTAGCAAGAAGATAATCAGGTGCCCTTTGGCATCATATGATTGTCATCCAATTCAGTTGATGTTGGCCAGATCTATGGACCATATCTAGGGACACCTTCAAACATGAGTAGGTATTTCTGGCCAACCTGTCTAAGAAGAAAAGCCGATCATCCAGGCTGGATCTAACCGGCCAAATGTGAATGTTCTGCTAACATAATTCCTGGCTTAGGAGTTTCCACTGAGATCTGGCTTTTCTGAATAGGACGTTCCAGAAAGTTTTAGGGTGTAAAAATATTTTGGAAGTTTCTCAATATAAAAATAAAACTTACTAAATCATTTCAAAATCAAACGCTTTGCATATTAACTTTTGCAAGACAGAATAACAGTTAGTACAAAGTTCTCCACTTTTTATGCAAAGGCACATGCTATTGTCAAAAGCAAAGTATATTATTACAGCATTGACCTTAAAGTAATCTATGAGACATTTAAATTTTTACATGATTTCACTTTAACATCTTTATTATTGTATTACATACAGAGATTTTTAGATTATCCTGTATAGGCAGGGCAGAATATTAAGAACACTGTACTGAGCAGTACTACAAAGCTGGTAGCAGAGCCTGAGTTTGCAATGAGCAAATATGAATGCCCCATGAACATATAGAACTGCAAATTGTATTTATATACAAAATTGTTAAAACAAATTTATATAAACATTAACACTAGGCTAGTACATTCATTTTCATCCAAATTCACATTTGGACGAACATCGGCAAATTGCCGAATGGGAAAATAAAGTATCTGAATTTTTGATAACAAAAATTCAGATACACCCTCAATTTAGTTTGAATGTCAATCGAAATTAACTGATACGCTCTTAAGCGTGAGAATCCCCCCTCCCTCCAAATTTATACCAGACCCTTGAGGTATGCTATGAATTTTAGGGGGGACCCCATGCCGAAAAAAAATTCCCCCCAAACATTTCTTACCAGACCCTTAATCCAAGCAGCTCCTGTCTAAACCAGCCGTAGTATGTGTATGTATGCATGTGAGATAGGGACCATGAATTATAAGCTCCTTTAGGGCAGGGACTGATGTAAATGTCCATTATGTAAAAAGATGCATAAATTGTTGTCGATATATAAAAACCTGTAATAAAGTGCAGATGTTAAAATCATTGCTGGGTCTGTGATTGGCTCACCTTTGAAGCTTTGTACCCACATGGGCTCAGAATAAGGAGATAACAATGAACTCTCAGCATGAACCTTTTTGCTTGGGAAAAAGTCTAAACTTGACATTAGTCTTATGATTAATACATTATTACTGGGTGGTCAAAAGTGGGTTTTAGTGTTATCAGCACTACAAAAATTGTATATTTTTATAATCTTTACATGTATGTGTACATTTGGCCATAGGCAGTTTTAACTGACATCTGCAGCTCAGCTTATGGCTAAAACAGTTTCCTTCTCCACATTGCTTTTCAAACTGACACCACAGTTGAAAATCAGAACCTTTCCAGCACGATGGATAATCACTAGTTCCTAAACTTACATAGTGAGGTAATGGTTTCTGAGTTTGAAAGAGCTGCACTGAAATTATGGGTGTGATTATCAATAAGCTTTACTCCTGAAGTAATGTCTTATCTGTGCAGCTTTTGGGAAATACACACACACGCACATATATATAGAGAGAGAGCAAATTGCCATACATTTCCTAGATTTGGGACATATTTACAAAAGAGTATACTGCTATTTATTTGTTATATTCATTGGCACACTTGAGGAGATTGTATCAGGGTGTGGCTTATCATGTTATAACCGCTCTGTGCATGAGGGATGATCAATCCATACAGGAGTCATGTGCCCTGATTCATCAAACTGCAATGGCACTTAGGGCATGATAAAATGATGTACAATAATATTGACAGAGAAGCCACTTTACCATGTCTTTTGTGTACTTTGTGGTTCCTGAAGCCTAATAAATCACGGCCATGATCTGCATAGCAAGTGATCAAACAGGTTTGCAAATATAATGTTTATTTTATTCATCTCCAACTACCCCTTCTTCTTTAGAGGTGACAAATAGAACTCTAAGTGAACTGTTTACATTTATTAATGTATATACAGTATATATACACTCTGTAAATGTTCATGCTATGCGAACGGATTCACAAAATGAATGTTCTTAATAGGGATGCACCAATACCGATACAAGCATCGGTATCGGCGGCGATACAGAGTATTTGCATGAGTACTCGTACTCGTGCAAATACTCCGATACATAAAACGAGTACCTGTGCCGCATCCGCCATCTTCAGGGACCCGAATCCGCCGCACACAGGACCTCCATCGCGTCTTCAATGAAGCAAGATGGCCGTGACCTCCTCTGTCATCTGCTCCATTCTGACCTCTTCTCCCGCTGATTGGCCGATTAGATGATTGACAGGCTTCCTCACCAGTCAGGAGTGACTGGTGAGGAAGCCTGTCATCATCCAATCGGCCAATCAGCGGGAGAAGAGGTCAGAATAGAGCAGATGTCACAGCCTAGTCATCTGCTCCATTCTGATCTCTTCTCCCGCTGATTGGCCGATTGGATGATTGACAGGCTTCCTCACCAGTCAGGAGTGACTGGTGAGGAAGCCTGTCATCATCCAATCGGCCAATCAGCGGGAGAAGAGGTCAGAATGGAGCAGATGACTAGGCTGTGACACGGAGTGGCTGAAGCAGACGGAGAAGACGACACAGCAGGTTAGTACTGACACACCTCATGGGGCTGGGCACAAAAATGCTGTTTACCGGCATATATTATTTAAAAAAAAGAAAATAACTATGTAGATATTGCTAACTAAGGCTTGTATCCCCCTAGTGGTCAAAATAGATGAGCACATGTCCAGACTGCAGACCAGAACACAGTGTGGCACAGCTATATCCAATTCTGCATACCTGGCTTTATATTATAAGAAAATGTAATAATAATATAAAGCCAGTTATACAGAATTGGCTGTAGCTGTGCCACACTGTGTTCTGGTCTGCAGTCTGGACATGTGCTCATCTATTTTGACCACTAGGGGGATACAAGCCTTAGTTAGCAATGGCATGATAAATATTAATTTCATTATTCAATGTCTTTTTTTAATATTATAAATGTTATAATATTTAAAAAAAGACATTGAATAATGAAATGAATATTTATCATGCCATTGCTAACTAAGGCTTATATCCCCCTAGAGGGGAAAATAGATTATCACACGTCCAGACTCCAGAACAGTGTATTATTGTATAGTGTGGAACAGCTGTATCCAATTCTGCATACCTGGCTTTATATTATAAAGTTCTTATAATATAAAGCCAGGTATGCAGAATTGGATATAGCTGTGCCACACTACAGAGTGTTCATGTTCTTCATAATATTAAGAAACTGACCTAAAATCATGATTTTGTATTGCTTTAGAAAAAATGTGACCTGTCCCTTTAAGAAAAAGTATCGGTAATTGGTATCGGCGAGTACTTGAAAAAAAGTATCGGTACTCGTACTCGGCCTTAAAAAAGTGGTATCGGTGCATCCCTAGTTTTTAGTATATTTTCTTGATAATTCCAATGTAATTTTGAGGGTCATCATTTAATACTGTATTATGGCCACTAGATGGAGCTGATGAGCATATGAAATAGATATGTCTTTCCTATGCTCCTCAGCTCTATTTAGGGGTCATAATGAGGTATTTTACATATAGTAAATTGGACATTTAAATTGGAAAGAAAATGTATTAAGAACATTAATTTTGGCCTCCATTTACACAGAATAAACATTCATGGATTTCACAGGGTAAATGGCTCTGCAAATTGTTCATTATTACACCACTAAGAGAGGGTTTGGTAGCAGTGGCGTAACAATAGCCATAGTAGCCCATGCATCTGCTATGGGGTCTGGGGATGGAAGGGGGCCCCATTAAGGATTGCTGAAGTTACTGATCTCACTGACACTGTACTCCATGTTACAATTCCAATCAAGAAGAGCTGTCATCAGTTGTACAGGAGGAAACGGCTCTCCTGTCACCTGACTTGAATGCCATTGACAGTAGGGATGTCACCAATGGGCCCCATCAAAATTTTGCTATGGCCCCCATGATCTACAGTTACACCCCTATTTGGTAGCAACTTCTTTTATTAGTGTGGGCTCTATCGAATACCATATTTTACTACAATTATGTTTCTCTCTTTATAAAAAAGCCATGGCCTGCATAAATTATTTTTTAACTATTATTTAATAATAAGTGTATTTTGTGATCATTTTTCTAGGAGAATGTTTCCTACCATCCGGGTTTCATTCTCTGGAGTTGATCCAGATGCCAAATACATTGTTCTAATGGACATCGTACCAGTGGACAACAAAAGGTACAGATATGCCTATCACAGATCTTCATGGCTGGTGGCTGGAAAAGCAGATCCTCCTCTACCTGCTCGGTAAGTTGTTACACTAAAATAATTATAAGAATTATTTAAAATCAAGTTTGGAAAGGTTTACTGTGACTGATAAAATGCAAGAAACTATTATGTGTATTAAATCCTTACCCCAGCCAAAACATTTAATTTGGTTTTGCACAAAGCAGGGAAGGATTTGAACATTTTTACTTACAGCTCTATTGGGGAGATTTCCCAATCCTTACTGTTAGGATAGAGTGCAATGAGAAATCTCTCCAACAGGGACAAAGGCAAAAAAACAAAAACACATTTTTGGTAGAGTAAGGAAGGAAATCCTGACAATGTTATTATTACTGCCTGTGCCTTTCTTTCCCAGGTGGCAAAAGCACCTCTTTCCCATTTCTTGTATGGACATCACAGGGACAGGAAGTGAGAAGTGAAAGAAACTGTCCCCAATCTGGTCACAGGCAGAAATAAAAAGCTTAAGTCTTCTCCGCTTTCTCTTAAAATAAAAAATATGGCTGGCGAGAGCTTCCCTGCGTCCCTAGCACAGTGACAAGAGCTGTCTCCCGATCACTGTTTATGACTGGGAGCCAAGAACAGGCTCCTGATTATGTGATCACTCTGATTGGTTGCCACAGTGATCTCATGATCCCTTTGTAAATCAGATTAGGAGATTTTCAAAAAGAAAACATTACAATAGGGGTAGTTTTGTTAAGGATACTGGTGGGTTAAATTATGGCTCTTTGTCTACAGTGGAAAGGTTTGCCTTTTTATGGTAGGAAGGTCTTACACCTTCCACTCGTCCTCTGTAGTGTAAAATAGATGAAGTAGGAGACCTTCTTCCCCATATCTACCTGCATCTACACAAAGCTGATTTATCATTCAGCACTAACATGGGTGCTTTTGCATTAGTAGGACATGGAACCTTGGTCAACATTACTGCCTATACACAAAGTGATCAAAATAGCAGATTATAATCTAACAGAGACCCTTTGTCTCTTTTTGTCCGGCCCACTGGCACATACATCTTCTGCAAGCCATAGCCCAGGGCAGTTCGGCAATCGGTGCATGTCCGGACCTAATTCTTCTTTAGTCTTTGGTTGCTAGGACTGCTGGCATCCACCAATGACATCAGGGGTTCTCCTCCTATGCAGCCATTGGTTGCTACGACCACTGGGTGGTCCTAACAACTAGTGACAAATGTCTTCCACCCCCAGCTACTCCTCTGTCCTCCTTATCCGTCCTCATCCTGTGGCTACACCTCCCAGGTCCCACCTGTGGCCTGTAAAGAAAAAAAAATGGTATGTGCCACATACTATGTGGGCACAATTTGGGCACTACAAGACTTCATTTAGGGCCCTTTGCCATGCGTTAATCAGTTCAGCCCCTTACAGAAGTCCCAGTTCCTTATGTGGCCCCTCGAGAAAATTAATTGCCCACCCCTCATCTAACTTGACAAAATTCTCTTGGTGGGTTTATGCCTCCCTAAAGCTGGGCATACACCAGTTGAATTTCATTCGAAAAAAATCTTTTTGGGAACATTTGTTCAATTTTCTAATAAATAAAACAAGTGGGTATCTCCCAGAACACGTTATCCCACATTCATCATCGGACACTTGTAAAGCCCCATTATCGCTTTGTTTTTTCAAGTTTCTAATAGTTAATGGAGTCAAATAAACAATCATTTTTATAACTGTATATGATGAGAAAAAAAATCGAAGAAGCAGGAAGGAAAATCACTGACTTAAAAAGTACTGAAACCAGTAGTTCACCAGGTAGCTAGCATTTGCAGAAGGAAGTCAGCAATGTCAGCCCCAGTATTTCTCTCATCACAGGTTTACTTTAGGAATTCTTGTTGAAAATCCTATGTTTCAGAACTGATGTACCAGTCTGTGGCTATTGCTGCTACAGTGTAACCAAAGGAGCTAAAAAAACAGAAAGTCTGCCATTATTATAATCCTAAATGAATGCAGATAAAATTGTCATGCAGTTAAAACAATTTCTGGTCTTAGAAAAGATATATTACACAGATTAAGCCTCTAAGAATTGGAATAATGCTATCAAAATAGTAGAATTGCGCAATAATATATGATAAAGATTTACTTTAACATAAACAGCAGACATTTCATGGTAATTATATTTTAAAAGCACTTAGAGCACAAGCCTTTATGGCTTATTAAAAGTTTGTTCTATGAAATATGCTGTTTTCACAATATCTCACTATGAATATATTGGCTGAAGAATATTTCAGCATGACTATGTTAAAACGGGGCTATAACATTTTCCAAACATAGGGAAGATACATAAACCTAACATATATAAACTGCAGTATAAGTTATGAGACACTCAAACTAGTTTATCTACTCTAAAGTCAAGTTACACATTTCAAATCTGTCATCAAAATTACTTATACTTGACCGTGTAAGGTCAATGCAGCAATTTAGTTTAATAGCAAAAGTCTTACCATTTTTTTTTTTACATATACCAGTGGATTACTATACTGTACTAACATGCTTTGCATTTTGTCTATACTAATTCATGATTTAATCTGGCCATACACCACGTTCGATTCCCATATCCATGATCCTAAATGGGGGAGTCTCTTCTGCTTGGCTATTGTATTCTAATTTCCGAACAGTTACTGCAGCTGATTTGCTTCAGCCACATTTTGGCCAAAAATGTTTGACCCAGCTCTTTTGACAAAATAAAGTTGAAGAATTGACTTTTGTTAAACAGCTCTGATCTGTGAAAAGGGGATGCCCAAAATGTTGCATATGCTACATTTTATATATTTTTTTTAAATTCAGATAAAATAAGTAATTGTTAATTCAATTTTCTAGAAATATGTTTATTTACTGCATGCAAAAGGGGTTTCAGTTATTCTTAAAAGTGAACTATTGCACAACCTTTTTTGGCCATAGCTTCTTTAGTGTCACAGAAGGACATTTACTAATGTCCTTCTGTGGCCCAAAACTCAGCATATAGCGGGCTATTGCCCACTATATACTGACAGTGCAAAGCCATGCTGAAGCCAGGATGGATCCCGAAAATAGTGTCGGGATCCACCCCGATGCCTCTCCATGTTGAATTTCATTCGAAAAAAATCTTTTTGGGAACATTTGTTCAATTTTCTAATAAATAAAACAAGTGGGTATCTCCCAGAACACGTTATCCCACATTCATCATCGGACACTTGTAAAGCCCCATTATCGCTTTGTTTTTTCAAGTTTCTAATAGTTAATGGAGTCAAATAAACAATCATTTTTATAACTGTATATGATGAGAAAAAAAATCGAAGAAGCAGGAAGGAAAATCACTGACTTAAAAAGTACTGAAACCAGTAGTTCACCAGGTAGCTAGCATTTGCAGAAGGAAGTCAGCAATGTCAGCCCCAGTATTTCTCTCATCACAGGTTTACTTTAGGAATTCTTGTTGAAAATCCTATGTTTCAGAACTGATGTACCAGTCTGTGGCTATTGCTGCTACAGTGTAACCAAAGGAGCTAAAAAAACAGAAAGTCTGCCATTATTATAATCCTAAATGAATGCAGATAAAATTGTCATGCAGTTAAAACAATTTCTGGTCTTAGAAAAGATATATTACACAGATTAAGCCTCTAAGAATTGGAATAATGCTATCAAAATAGTAGAATTGCGCAATAATATATGATAAAGATTTACTTTAACATAAACAGCAGACATTTCATGGTAATTATATTTTAAAAGCACTTAGAGCACAAGCCTTTATGGCTTATTAAAAGTTTGTTCTATGAAATATGCTGTTTTCACAATATCTCACTATGAATATATTGGCTGAAGAATATTTCAGCATGACTATGTTAAAACGGGGCTATAACATTTTCCAAACATAGGGAAGATACATAAACCTAACATATATAAACTGCAGTATAAGTTATGAGACACTCAAACTAGTTTATCTACTCTAAAGTCAAGTTACACATTTCAAATCTGTCATCAAAATTACTTATACTTGACCGTGTAAGGTCAATGCAGCAATTTAGTTTAATAGCAAAAGTCTTACCATTTTTTTTTTTACATATACCAGTGGATTACTATACTGTACTAACATGCTTTGCATTTTGTCTATACTAATTCATGATTTAATCTGGCCATACACCACGTTCGATTCCCATATCCATGATCCTAAATGGGGGAGTCTCTTCTGCTTGGCTATTGTATTCTAATTTCCGAACAGTTACTGCAGCTGATTTGCTTCAGCCACATTTTGGCCAAAAATGTTTGACCCAGCTCTTTTGACAAAATAAAGTTGAAGAATTGACTTTTGTTAAACAGCTCTGATCTGTGAAAAGGGGATGCCCAAAATGTTGCATATGCTACATTTTATATATTTTTTTTAAATTCAGATAAAATAAGTAATTGTTAATTCAATTTTCTAGAAATATGTTTATTTACTGCATGCAAAAGGGGTTTCAGTTATTCTTAAAAGTGAACTATTGCACAACCTTTTTTGGCCATAGCTTCTTTAGTGTCACAGAAGGACATTTACTAATGTCCTTCTGTGGCCCAAAACTCAGCATATAGCGGGCTATTGCCCACTATATACTGACAGTGCAAAGCCATGCTGAAGCCAGGATGGATCCCGAAAATAGTGTCGGGATCCACCCCGATGCCTCTCCAGAGGCAGAGTCAGCTGTGTCTAGTTTGACTATTTTTGAGTGTGGGGACGCACTGGGGTCCAAGTGTGCATTCTAGATTACTGGGCCCCCAGTGCGTCCCAGCACCTTATTAGGAGGAGTTGGCTACCTCCAGGTACACCTGCATGCAATTTATCGACTGCATTAATATGCTCACACTTGGAGAATCGTATACATAGAGTTAGGACGACACTTTGCAGAGGTGCCTTGGCACGGCGGTGTGGCTTCTACATATTTTTGGCCAAAAGTTTGTGCAACTAAAACCTCTGATTTTAACGCATACTGTTGACAGGGCAATTTGTTTGGTTGCAGGCTAGCTGGCAGGTGAAGCTTGGGATTTTTTGTGTTTTGTAGCGTCTGCCCCCTCCCCTGTCAGTCCCTCCTGTTAGCGCTGGAAGAACAGAGAGTGGGAAATCCCTGTGGGGAGCAGTGACTGACAGTCATCGGTCTCTGCAGGGAGACGATCAGAAACTGAGCAATCAGCGGTATGTGATTGCTCAGTTCTTGATCTATAGAGCAGACGTGTGACAGTTTCAATGGATAAGTGTATTTCACTCTCCCCATAATTCTCCTTTAAAATTCAAAAGAAATACATGTAAGGATGTGAAGCATTCAAAGATAAAAAGTAATACTATACTTGCAATAAAAGTGAAAATATGTGTTTATTAAAATTATTATTACTAAATAGCAAATGACTATTATTGACTATTTCTTGTTTATTTGAACAACTAGATTATATGTGCATCCTGATTCTCCATTCACTGGGGAGCAGCTACTGAAGCAAATGGTTTCTTTTGAGAAAGTCAAGCTCACAAACAATGAACTGGACCAGCATGGACATGTAAGTGTGTACATACTGATAGAAGGTCATATACAGTGCAGACACCAAAATAACACCAGCGCCATCCCAGAGGATTGCATTACTCACCCAACCACAAGTGCTTGGACAGATAAAAAATTGGAGAGGATAGAGGTATTCATGTGTGATATGATTAGAGGAAGACGCATGCAGAGCTTTTCAAGCAACAGAGATAGTAGCGTGTCTTGTTAATTGTCAAACATTCAGCACATATGTCTTTAGTATTTGTGGTGTTAACAGAGATTTAGGTACATATCTGTATATAGTTAATGTGCTGTGTTTTAAGTTTAGCTTTCCACACTGCTGACAAAAAAAATATTACACTTTTTTGGGAATTCCTGAACAGAACATAAAACATATATGCATACACACATTTATTGGTCTATTATTTGGGTATACTTTTGTTTTTATTATATTTTATTCTGTAAATTAGATTCCCGAACCACATATATGACACAGTTAATAATTACCCAATGTACCATATTGCTCTGTAAATCAATTCTGGCTAACCAAAACTATTCAAATGACATTGGCGCCTGAATACAAACATACAGTAAATCCGTATAGTGGGTTTGTAGGTAAGAGATTGTATTTTTTAGGAGCATAACTTAGAATGACTGAGCTCAGGCCACAGAATTCTAAATCACATCTTTCATTTTAAATAATAGGTCATGGCTCAATTTGACCATAATGTACTGATCTTCATAGCATCATCTTTCTTTTTCCATAGTAATCAACACATATTAGAAAAATCCCAAAGTCTAATGCACTTAGATACTTAATATACTTGCATTTGTGATATATGTCTTTAGAATTTTTTATATTTTTTTTTTCTAGTGTGATATTCCAACCTGCTTACTGTCCTTGTTCTCTCTTTTTCTATGCCAGTGGAAATAATTTTTATATCAGGCACCAGAGAGCTATGGTGCAAATTTTGAATAAGGCCCCTTCATATTTCATGTAAAAATCATATAGACTTGTGAAAAGTTTAGTAAGGCTAATTCATCTATTACAAGCTCAGCTAGGCAGGTAAAATAATGGTAATTAATTCTCCTCTACAGCTGATAGCTGTACCCTTTAAAACCTATGTAGGTATGCCCCAGCTGAGAATGTATTTATCTGAGACACCATGTTCATGCAATATAGTATGTGATTTACCATTCATTACCATGCATTTTCAGTTGCAACATTATGTGATTTTGAAGTTGTCTAAGCAATTAATTGAATGGGAAACTACAATTTTAAACCCCAAAATCTGCGGTATGCAGGATGTTTTCAAAATGTGCTGCAACCAATTGGTGAGGGGTGAACAAGTCACAATAACATAAAGAGAAATTAAAAGTACCATCTGGATTACTTGCACTACTGCATTGAATTGCATCTGGTGACCTTAGGCCTTTTACATAAGTACATCAAAAACAGCCACCCAGCCCATTAAAGTATTCATTACACTACAACTCAACACACATTACACTAAAAATTAAATTTAAAACTTTTCCACATTTAGCCTGTACAACTCCTCCGGCCACCACTTGTCTAATAGACCTGAACATAAGCTAGATTCCCTAAGCTCAAGTGTATTCCATATTCAATGAAAACCCCGGTTCAAATACGAGTCTGGACACAGTCTGAAAGGAATTTGCATGTTCCCCCTATTCTTGCGTGGCTTTTCTCTGGGTACTCCGGTTTGCTCCCACACTCCAAAGACATGCTGGTAGGTTAATTGGCTCCCGTCTAAATTGGCCCTGTATGCATGTGACATAGGGACCTTAGATTGCAAGCTTCTTCAGGGCAGGGACTGATGTGAATGTGCAGTATGTAAAGCGCTGGATAAATTGTCTATATAAATACCTGTAATACATAAATCACAGTTAACAGAAATGTCAACTATTCATTAGTACAATATTGTAAAATAAAAAAAAAAGGTAACATTGACAGTATTTTTTTTTTTAGATTATCCTGAATTCCATGCACAAGTACCAACCAAGGGTCCATATTATCAAGAAGAAGGACCACACTGCATCTCTGCTGAATTTGAAATCAGAAGAATTCAGGACATTCATCTTTCAGGAAACTGTTTTTACTGCTGTTACAGCCTACCAAAACCAACTGGTGAGTTCATCTTCATACAATGATGGGGAACTGCTTAAACTCGTAACAGATACAAAACTACTATGATTTCAAGACCAACTATTTTTTTTAAGCTAGCACTAAAATTAGCAAACAAAAGTAAACATTTTTACATAAAATTTTTTGCACAGCGCTCGTTTCAGCGCTCGTTTATTAGTAATGAAGTCTTGTCAAAGCATATTACAAATATCCAGGGGTGTAATGTATGAGTGTAGGAGGAAAAGCAAGCAAATTCCCGTGGATAGAAAACACCACTATTCATAAATCATTTGAATAAGTACATTTTCCGCCTTTTCACTTCTGTTGCTAAGGGTATGATTTAATTTACTTTTTCATTATTAGATAAAGGATAAACACATTACATTTTCAACAAACTATCTCATAATTTAGGATTTAAAGGTCAGGTTTCAATCTGAGTAGTCAAACCACTATGACAGAGTTGAAGTGCAGGTCAAATGAATGCTTAGAGATGTATTTTGATAGATATTTATATTTATTGCTGTCTGTGGGCCAAGCCATACATAGCCCATATTTTCAGCTTTTACAAACATATAAGGCCTATTATTTTTTAAATAAAAACAACAAAAAAATCTAAAAGTAACAATATGTAAAGCCTATTTTCAACTTGTACATCAAAAGCTTTAATAATCCATTTATCCTGTTTATATATTTTATGTTTATAATAAAAAATTGGATTGAAGTTTACACAAAATATTAAACAGAATTAACAAATTCATTTTTGGATTGCATTTATATTTCAAATATATATAAATGGATAGTCTGTCTCTATTCCAAAGTTTAAATACACTTAAAAACAATTAAAAAGTAAATATCTGCAATCAATTATGAATACACAAAAAAG